AACAAAAAGAATAAAATACCTCCGGGTGAATTTAAGGAAGTGAAAGACCTATGCAATGAAAATTACAAGGCTTTTCTGGAAGAAATGAATGATGACATAAAGAGATGGAAAGACATTCCATGCACATGGATTGGAAGAATAAACATAGTTTAAATGCCCATTCTACCCAAAGCAATCAACAGATTCAACGCCATCCCAATCAGAATCCCAATGACGTTGTTTACAGAAATAGAACAAAGAATCCTGAAATTCATATGGGGCAACAAAATACCCTGAATTGCTAAAGCAATACTGAGAAAAAAGAACACAGCTGGAGGCATCACAATCCCTGACTTCAAAACATACTACAAAGCTACAGTAATCAAAACAGCATGGTACTGGTACAAAAACAGGTGCACAGATCAATGGAACAGAATTGAAAGCCCAGAAATAAAACCACACATCTATGGACAGCTAATCTTCAACAAAGGAGCTGAGGGCATACAATGCAGAAAAGAAAGTCTTTTCAACAAATGGTGCTGGGAAAACTGGAAAGCCACAGGTAAAAGAATGAAAATTGACCATTCTTTTTCACCATTCACCAAAATAAACTCAAAATGGATCAAAGACCTAAAGCTGAGACCTGAAACCATAAGGCTTCTAGAATAAAATGTAGGCAGTACACTCTTTGACATCAGTATTAAAAGGATCTTTTCAGACACCATGTCTTCTCAGACAAGGGAAACAATAGAAAGAATAAACAAATGGGACTTCATCAGACTAAAGAGCTTCTTCAAGGCAAGGGAAAACAGGATTGAAACAAAAAAACCCACTAACTGGGAAAAAATATTTGCAAGTAATACATCCGACAAAGGCTTAATATCCATAATATATAAAGAACTCACACATCTCGACAACAAAAAATTAAACAACCCGATCAAAAAATGGGCAGGAGACACGAACAGACATTTCTCCAAAGAAGATATACGGATGGCCAATAGGCACATGAAAAGATGTTCATCATCACTGATCATCAGGGAAATGCAAATCAAAACTACACTAAGATATCACCTTACACCCATTAGAAGGACAAAAATAATTAAAACAAATAGTAACAAATGTTGGAGAGGTTGTGGAGAAAAAGGAACCCTCATGCACTGCTGGTGGGAATGCAAACTGATGCAGCCACTATGGAAAACAGTATGGAGATTCCTCAAAAAATTAAAAATAGAACTACCATGACCCAGCTATCCCACTACTGGGTATCTATCCAAAGAACTTGAAGTCAGCAATTCCAAAAGTCCCATGCACCCCTATGTTCATTGCAGCATTATTTACAATAGCCAAGACGTGGAAGCAACCTAAGTGCCCATCAAAAGATGAATGGATAAAGAAGATGTGGTATATATACACAATGGAATACTACTCAGCCGTAAAAAAGAACAAAATTGTCCCATTTGGAACAACATGGATGGACCTTGAGGGAATTATGTTAAATGAAATAAGCCAGATAGAGAAGGACAATCTCTGTATGACTCCACTCATATGAGGAGCTTAAACATGTGGACAAAGAGAACAGATTAGTGGCTATGTGGGGAAAGGGGGGGGTGGGGGCTGGGCACACAGGGTGAAGGGGTGCACCTACAACATGATTGACAAACAATAATGTACAACTGAAATTTCACAAGATTGTAACCTATCAACTCAATAAAAAATGCAAAAAAAAAATTAAAAAATAAAAATGTTTAGTAGCTTCTCATCTCACTCAGACTAGAAGCCAAAGTGTCTACAGTGGCCTACAAGGCCCTAAATTATCTAACTCCTCCACTACTACTTCTCAGATCTCATCTACTATGTTTGTTGAATAAATGAATGAATGACCCTCTAAAACAAAGGAACCCAAGTCTGACTAATCATCAGAATCATCTGGGGAAATTTTTAAATGCATATTCCAAGGGTATATCTCAGAGACATTTGGCTCAGTCTTTCTGAGGCAGGAGTTGGAAATTTACATCTTTGAAAGCACCCTAGATGGTTCTGAGGATTAGTCAGGTTGAAGATTCTCAAGATGGAAAACAATGAATTCTCTCATTAAGCAGTCACATAGATTTATTAATTGAAAGTACATAACTATGACTACTTTAACTGAAGAGGAAAATTTAGAGACTCTAAAGTACAAAGTATTTGAAAGAAAAGTGAATTTTCAAAAGAGTAAGTCCACCCTCAGCTCAGAACAGTGCTTTGCAACTGGGAGCAATTTTACCCTCCAGGGAACATTTGGCAATGTCTGGAAACATTTTTGGTTGCCACAATTGGGGCAGTGTGCTACTGGCACGTAGTCAGAAGAGGCAGGGACACTACTAAACATCTTAGAATGTACAAGACAGCCCCCCACAACAAAGAATTATCTGTCCTAAAATGTCAATCATGCTGAGGCTGAGCAATCCTCCTTAGAATGACTGATGGCCACTTTTAGGTAAGGACCCAATCCATCCAACTCCTGGTGGAATATCTCCACTGACAGCCTGCTCACTATTCCACATCAATCAATGCACTACTGGGCAGCTTAAAATTTTTCCCCAACTTTTTATTTTGGAAAATTCCAAACACCATAGAAAAGATGAAAGAAGAACATAAACATCCATTTGCTCTTCGCCTACACCCGTCAAATGTTAACATTTGGCCAAATTTCCTTTATCACATGCTATACCCAAACACACATGCACACATACACACACACTGTTTTTGTTTTGCTGAGTCATTTGAAAATAGCAGACATCATGATACTTCAGCGTGCATCTCCTACATAACCAGGATACCACTAGCATACCTAAGGATACTAACAATAATTCCACACTATCATCTTCAAACTTCCCCAGTTGTCTCCAAAATGTCTTTTACAGCTTTATAACTCACCCACCCCCAATCCAAGATCCAACCAAGGTCATCCCTTGCATTTAGTTGTTTCTTTTATCCAAGAACAGTCCTCCATCGTTTTTGTTTGTTTTCCAGGACATCGTCTGAAGAGTCCTAGCCAGCTGTCTTGTAGAATGTCTTCAGTTGTGGATTTGTCTCCCTGTTTCCTCATGGTGTCATTTAACATAACCCTAGATTTCCTTTCTTTCCTATAAACTAGAAGGCAAGTCTTGGATCGATTAGATTCAGGTTAAATATTTTTGGCAAGAAGACTTCATAGGTGATGTTGTGTATTTCTTGTTGCGCCACATCAGGAGAAATACACTGGCAGGCTGCCCTGCCATCAGTGACGCTAAGTTTGATCACTGGGTTAATGGGATCATCAAGTTTCTGCTGTAAAGGTACACTCCGCCTTGGAATTAGAATGTATAAATACTCTATTTCTTATCAGCTTTTCCCCCAATAGTTTTAGCATTCACTGATAATCTTTGTCTGAAGTATTATATCGAGGGCTGGAAAAAGTCTATCATTCCTTCTACATTTATTAGCTCACAGTATTCTGTACAGAGCAGAAGAGCTTTCCTTTATTTCCTCTTCCCCTCTTTTTTATTATGACTAGATGCATAGATCTCTGCTGCTGTTAAATAAATTCCTTTCATTATTCTTTTTGATGCTCAAATTGTCCCACATTTGGCCAGTGGAAACTCCTTCACGCTGGCTCCTGTGACCTTTTGATGTACCTCATTAGTCTTTGAGTACTTCCTGTGAGTATCTCTGGTTTATATGACATTTATTTGCTGAAATTCCTATAACATCTGCCCATTGGTTTTGGTTCTACTTTTTGGAGGAACAGAACATTTTACTTCTTCCATGTAGAATGTTGTGTTAAGTAAACACAGATATTATATTTGGGTTGGAGCAATTCTATGAAACCACTACACTAACAGTACATGAGTACATAGATCATTAATGTAGACTTACTCGTATGCTCACTTCATCCCTAATTCTCACACTTTAGGATGTCCATTACACTTATTACTTGATTCAATTTATAAAAGCTGCTGAGAGATTAAAGGTTCATTTTCAAGGTTCCATCAGAATGTTCCCATGTCAAAATGGTCGCACCAAAGGAGCCAGGTCACGATTTCCTATTGGTAATCTGGGAGAGATTCATGCACTGGGTTGGAGCGAATCCTTGATGCTACTCGAGTAACCACAAGGTATATGAGATACTGTATTAATACTTAAGGGCTGACTCACACCCAGCATTAGTTATTAAAGTTATCCTAACAATCCTCCAACGTTTTCACACAGGTTTTTGCAGTTTATTACAACTTCTTTATTTATAAAGAGCATGTAAATGCAGATGCACCCTCTTTCTAGGGTATACCCCTTCAGCATTGCATATCTCTACACATATTTGCTCAGGCTAGTCAAGAAAAGTCTGATGAGCTTTGAGCAAACAATGTCCCTGCTCTGACAGATAAATAGTATTCTGTCCTCTAGAATAAGTACACCTTCAAAGGCATACAGGCAGACAGCAGCCCTTCAGGAGGGCACATGAGCTCTAGTTCCTCTGTGTGCAGACATATTTCCAGCATCTGAAATTTATTGGTGGCAGTCGCCCACTGGGGAAAACAATTCTAATTATGCATGAGAAGTTAATCAATAATATAAAATACATAAAATAGTACACCATTTTATTTATATTTCTTATTTCTTTTCCAGTATGGTCAAAGCACACTGAAAGCAGAAAGAATCCTCATCAAGTGCTTTGTAACTGTGGGCAGGGAAAATGAAATGGTCACTCACTGTAATACAATAATACGACAATAATTAAAAAGAATAAAATACATAATAATAAAATGTGACTTTCAAGTACTAAGATGATAGAATAGGAAAAAATCCTAATGCCTAACTTCTGGTTAGTTATATAAGGTTTTTTGAATGATGTGAAATTCTGACATTTCTGAATAGTAATAGGAAAAAACATAAAACAAATGAGAAAGAGAAGGCAATGGAAGAGAAATGCTAAAGGCAGAAATAAATCAAATCAGCATGTCAAGAGAATAACCACAAAAGTAGACCAATCATCCAGAAGGTACCTTTGTTCAGAAGAGGAAGGAAGTCAGCTGCTTTTTCCCGAAAAACTCTCTGAGCATCCTCAGCTTTCATCGACACTTCCTTTGTCTGAACTAGGAAAAAGCCTTTATTAACCATCTGTGGAAAATAAAATTTCATTTAGATTTTAAAATGACCTTCTGAGAGTAAAACAATATTTTCCTATTCTCGTATTTGTCTGCACCAAACGCAACACAGCCTGCTGCTTTTTGTTTTAGCGATGACTCTCATTCAGGGTGTTTGCTCTAACAAGTTTCCACATATACGGGGTTCTTCCTTCCAGATGGGTGGTTCTGGTTAAGAATTAGTACTGCAATGCCTACTGTTAAGATTAGAGTCCAACAAATGTGAATTATCCCTCAAAATTTAAAACATACTTAAAAATTTTCTTTGACTGAAACTAACAGATGGAAGCTTTAGTTTGGTGATACTGCAAATGTCCAATGAGAGGAGAATGGTTAAGTAAATTACAGTACATTTACATGATAAAGTATCATAGTTCATCAAATATAACAAATAAGATGGGGAAAAGCTTACATGATAATGTTAATCTTAAAAAGCACGATACACATGTATACAGTGTAGCACAATAACAATAGATTACATTTATGGAGCAGTTACTATGTGCCAGGCAGTTTTGTGCACTTTGCGTGTATAACACATTTAGCCCTCAGGTGAGGTACCTATTACTACTCTCATTTTATAGACAAGAAAACTAAGGCACAGAGTGGTTAAGGAACCTGCCCAAGGTCACACAACTATTAAGTAACAGAGCTGTGATTCAAACCCAATTAATCTGATTATAGACTAAATAAATTAAAAATTATTCCTAAAAAGACTATTCAAGGTACATTATGGATTATTTTTAAACTTATTTCTACAGTTTTCTACAATAAGTACATATTAATTTTTAAAATAATTATGGAAGTAGTTTTAAAAAATGCAAAGTCATTCAACCAATTAATTTTTTTTAGCAAAGCCTCTTGGGGTTTTAATTATAAAAGTAACATAGGCTCAATACAGAACATTTGAAAACAAAGAAATATCAACCAAAGTGCTACCACTCAAGGATGCCACTGCCCATATCGGTGTACTTCCTTTTACTCTCCCAGTTTTCTTTTTCCCCCATTACAGAAATAATACATGTTCATTGTAAAATCCATAGAACCACAAAAAAGAAAACTCTGCTCTTAATCCACTTCCTAAGAATAACCATAACTGTTAACATTTTAGTATATATAATTTTCCAGACTTACCTACTTTATTTAATTTTTTAAGGAAGATTAGCCCTGAGCTAACATCTGCTGTAGATTCTCCTCTTTTTGCTGAGGAAGACTGGCCCTGAGCTAACATCCGTGCCCATCTTCCTCCACTTTATACGTGGGACGCCTACCACAGCATGGCTTGACAAGCGGTGCCATGTCCGCACCCGGGATCCGAACTGGCGAACCCCAGGCCGCCAAAGCGGAACATGCGAACTTAACCACTGTGCTACTGGGCCAGCCCCAGACTTATCTACTTAAAAAAGAATCAGATACTTACATAATATTCTACAGATTTTCACTTACTTGATTGTGAACATTTTCCAGCAATTCTACTATAAAATCAGTTTTAATGGTTGACAGTATTTCATTCTATGGCTACATTATTCCATACCATTCCATCAAATTGGAATCAAACTTAAATCTGTTTTCAAAGCCCTCAATGCTGCCTCAGAAAAAAGAAACATACATAAAAAAGTAGCAGAAAATTACACGGACATCACTGCCAGATGATGACTGCAAAGTTACTTAAAATATCAGAAACAATCCTACATCTGCTTCTAATTTTCTAGACAGCTCGTTACCTCTCACTTTATAATCAGACACATAAACTGACAAAAGATGATTAATTCAAAATGCCGTTACCTAAAAACAAATAAGGAACTATGAAAACTATATCTGTTTTGATATATCACTGCAGATTGTTGAAGAGACTCTTTTTCATGAAAATTCTTCTACTTTTAAAGACTAGAAAATAGTGGTAACTACCCAACTTAAATTATGCAATATTTTACTTCCAAACAATTGTGCATACTTTTACTCTAATTTTCCTGTGCGTATCTGTGATGCAGGTAAGAGCCTGCAAGAAATCTGAGTTTTAGGTGAGAAAACTGAGGCCCAGTAACTTCTCTTGACTCCCAAGGGAATGTGCTCTGCTTTACCCAGCTTTTCTGGACTTCCTACTCTCTTAAGTTTTATACTTCCTATCTCAAAAAAAAAAAAACATTATGATAAGTTTAATTTATGAAAACGTGAAACAAAATTCTGTGATACTCCTAGGGTTTAACAAAAGCAGAGTTAGCAACCACAGTTCCAGTCTAAGCTATCCTAAGCTATTTGTGTTATGAAATGAGACTCAAGTTTCATTTTTCCATCTCAGAATTAACTAGCTTCTACACATATTTTCCTGGGAACTCGAGCTTCATTTTTTAAAAAACACGTAATCTTGGGGCCAGCCCCGTGGCTGAGTGGTTACGTTCCTGCGCTCCACTTGGGCGGCCGGTTCGGATCCTGGGCGCAGACCTTGCACCGCTCATCAGGCCACGCTGAGGCAGCGTCCCACATAGCACAACCAGAGGGACCTACAGCTAGAATACACAACTATGTACTGGGGGCTTTGGGGAGAAGAAGAAGAAACAAACAAACCAAGATTGGCAACATGTTAGCTCGGGCGCCAAGCTTAAGAAGGAAAAAAAGAATTAAAAAAAACTTTGTAACCTCTCTCTTAATATGTAAGTCACTGGTCTTTCAGCACATTTGATACCCTCTTCACAGGTACTTGGCCTTTTCTTCTCTTTTCATTCCTTAATTCCGATTTCAGAATTAGATAGGATAACTGTAGCCAGAAAGTCCCAGGGCTTTTCTTTCTAGGCTGGAGGGTAGTAGCTGCCTTGACTCCACATACTTTGGATCACATTCCTGTTCCACCAGGCTTTTATCAACTTCCCTTCACCACGGAGGCAGCATGGTAGCAGCATGCTTAAGGGTTAAGACTGTGGCCTACAAAGCGAGACTGCCCTGGATTTAAATCATGGCTCTGCTGTTTACCAGCTGAGTGACCTTTTGAAGGTTACTTACCCTCTCTGTGGCTCATTTTCCTTATCTGTGAAAAGGGGAATAATGGTACCTATTTCATAGGTTATCCTGAATTAAGTGAGTTAATCCATTTAAATCCCTTACAACAGTGTCTGGTATATAGTAACACTGTATAAATGTTAGCTATTATTGTTGTTGTTGTTGTTAGAGTTTTGTTTGTTTTTAATTATTTTGTAATCTAGAAGGACATCTAAAGAATATCATTCTTCCTGGTCATGTTGCTTTCAAGTGCACACAACACTGCCATTTCACACGTCAGATACCAAAAGTTAAAAGGTGAAGAACATCTGATGACTCAAGAAGGAAGACAGCTTGTTTTGATGGTTTTTTTCTTTAAATATGCTACATATTCTTTACATCCACTCCTCACTACCTACCAAAAAGGGGTTTAGCCTGAATAGTTACGTCTTTTGAAAACTGTACGTAGATCTTTTTTAAAAAATCACCTCATAGTATAATGAAAATATCACCTCTCAGATGTTGCATTAGCATGTGATTCAACAGCTCAAAGGCCAGAAGCACGGTTTTCATGTCTTACCACATTCACAGCATGTTTTTATCAGATTGGCATAATAAAAAAAGAAAATATCAAAGTCTGAAAATGATACCTTGGCTTCTGTTGTTTTTGAAAACTAGACCTCAGATATACTCTATAGATTTCAGACATGGGTTTTCTACCTTGTAGAATGTAGAGCTATAGAGAGGTAGTCATTTTTAGTTTTTTTCCTAAAACCATTCCTTTTGACAGAACTGTTACAACTTTTTAAAAATCCATTAAAAAAGACTTGATGAGTTTTCCATTCACTTCTCCATTTCTGGAAGTTTGATTTTTAAACTCGAACAGACTCCTCCTGAAGAACGTCTGATTAATGGATGATCAAGGCATCCTTCTGCTGCCTCTCCGCGGGAGCGCCCAGCAACACAGCAACCGCTGCTGCTGGAGCCCCTGACCTCTACGGCCCCAGTTATTTTTCAAGTGGAAGCTGCTTGAGAAAAGAACCCAGAGAACCTTTCTACACTCACGAACTCACCACACGCCCCTGCTCAGGAGCCCACAACCTCTGCTATCCCAGCTCCCACCTCATTCTTCCGCACCAACCTCCCCTCCTTGGCAATAGGGCAAAGGAAAATAAGGAAAGCAATGTGGAGGTGGCTCTCATAGTCAAAAGGGGGTCCTATTCCTAAACGTCTTTGCTACCTCCTAACCAATGAAAACTCCAAATAAATTTCCTCACTAAATCATTATAAAAGGCTGTGCCTTACTATGCAGTGCTACTTTTGTGAGCTTCCATGGAAATCATTTATTATGAAGAACACAAGTTCTTTGAAGGCAGAGAATTTTGTCTGTGTCTCTCCACCTCCAGGAGATACTATATTTCATCAGCTCTAAGTTGCTGTCACTTGTAGGATGCATTTCAGATAAGTGAAAATGTGGAAAACAAATGGGCATCCTCTAATCAATGAAATATGATAACAGAGTAACTTGCACATAGTAAGTGCTTAATAAATGCTTACTGAATTGAATTATATTTTTAAAAAGTTTCTTTGGGAAAATATTTTGGGGCCTAAGCAACCTCTGTAAGATTTATCTTACAGATAAATCTGTAGGGAGCAGAGGACTATAACTTAAGGATTGCCTGTATTTCTAACAGCCAATTTGAAAAAAATGGAAGTTCTTGGAAAGCGGTGTGTTTCTATCTAGTTGTATGTCTGTTTCTCTTCTCTCTCTCCTTACCTCATCAATTAGTTTCCTGGCATTTGCGATAGTATAATCGCCAGCAAATAATACCACTAAGCATGATTCATCACTGCTCTTCTGTCTCTGACCCCTGGATACTGGAACGATACTTCTGTTGGCTTCTGTGGAAATGCGGACAGCCTTGAGCTCTTCGGTGGTAGGCAGAGGAACACGGTCTTGAACTACAGCATCTTCTGGAAGAAGGCTCCAGTTGAGTTCTCCTGACACAGGTGTAAAGTCATGAACGTTACTCCAGGTATTATTGAAGATACTTAGCCCTGCATCTTTGAACTGGAAAGCTAATTCAGGGTAGTACCATTGAAAACAGCCAAATTTGATATTTGTGGAAGACTCAATGATGGGTTGAGTGGCGCAGCACAAAAAGACTTCCAGCTTTCTACAATCCCGCACACGAAACTGCTGGCAGGCTAATGCGCATCGGCAATCTCTGCAATTTCGGAAAAACACACTGCCTTTCACGGGTCCCAGAAAGATTACGCAGTTAGTACAGTCATCAATTGTGACTGTAGCAGAGTGATCAAAAATATAGATGTTACAGTTCTCACAGTCTTGAATGAGAAACTGTTGCCCTGCCACTTTCCCAGGTAAGCGGCCTACTGTTTCATCCTTCAGGCCACTCAGCAGGTAGTCTTTCGGATCAACCTGCAGAGACAAAACACACACCTTGAGTATTATTAACATTATTCAACAGATACCAATTAAATGTCTATTGGGTGCCAGGCCCAATTCTTAGTGCTAGAATAATACGTTCCTACTTTCACTGACTTTGCGACATAGTAAGAAAATGAACAGTGCAAATTTTTTTTTCCAATAAAGAAAAGGCATGGGGGGGGGTGAAAGGGAGAGGGAACTATTATAGATAAAGACTCAATAACATATCAGCCAAACAATGTGCGGACAGTGTTTGGATCCTGTTTCAACATATCAATCGTAAAAGCACTTTTTTGAAACAATTAGCGAAATTCTCACACATATACACAGCATAATGGATAATATTAAGGAATATTTCAGCTCTGACCCTTTTTCTGATGCTTCACTTTTAAAATAACTTCTGCTTCTTTAAAACTTCTGAAATTGGAAATACACCCAGATTGAAATATAACTTCTCTCTTTTTTGTGTGAGGAAGATTGGCCCTGAGCTAACATCTGTTGCCAATCTTCCTCTTTTTGCTTGAGGAAGATTGTCATTCAGCTAACATCTGTGCCAATCTTCCTCTATTTTATGTGGGATGCCGCAACAGCGTGGCTTGACGAGCAGTGCTAGGTCCGTGCCCAGGATCTGAACCTGCAAACCCTGGGCCGCTGAAGCAGAGCACGCAAACTTAACCATTACGCCACTGGGCCAGCCCCTGAAATATATTTCTCTGTTCTTCCATAAATTGAGGCATGGGTCTTAGTTTCTAAACCCTGACTGATTTCTGCAACACATTACAGAAAATGGAAGAACCTGAAAGCACAAGAATCACTATATGTCAGAACTTGCATCTACTAGATATTCCAAACTAAAGCTCACATAATCTTTTAAACGGTATGCCTGGAATCTGTCACATTATTTTTTTAAATTTTAACTGGCCTCTCAAAATATAGTCATTAAAAGGCCATTTTGGGGCTGGCCCCGTGGCCGAGTGGTTAAGTTCGTGCGCTCTGCTGCAGGCGGCCCAGTGTTTCGTTGGTTCGAATCCTGGGCGCGGACATGGCACTGCTCATCAAACCACGCTGAGGCAGCGTCCCACATACCACAACTAGAGGAACCCACAACAAGAAATATACAACTATGTACTGGGGGGCTTTGGGGAGAAAAAGGAAAAAATAAAATCTTAAAAAAAAAAAAAAAAGGCCATTTTGATTTTTCCACATTATTTTTGTATTCACTTCCACTGTTTTACCTGTTTGCAAATATTAAATTTCATGCAAAACTTTATGCACCAGAAACAGGCTCCCAGAGATACAGTATGCAAAAACCCGATTTTTTTTTTTTAAGATTTTATTTTTTTCCTTTTTCTCCCCAAAGCCCCCTGGTACATAGTTGTATATTCTTCGTTGTGGGTCCTTCTAGTTGTGGCATGTGGGACGCTGCCTCAGCGTGGTTTGATGAGCAGTGCCATGTCCGCGCCCAGGATTCGAACCAACGAAACACTGGGCCGCCTGCAGCAGAGCGCGCGAACTTAACCACTCAGCCACGAGGCCAGCCCCCCGATTTTTTTTTTACAAAGGATAATTTAATCATCGTAATTATTAGCAAACTAGCTTAAAGTGACTTATTCAATATTGCACAATAAATGTACTTATCCAGTTTTACATAATGTACTAGAAGGGGTACTGGTCTGTAGCACGAGGCAATAAAAGAGGCACTTGTTTTCCAGTCTCAATTTTGTCACCTCTGAGCAACATGATCTTGAAAAAGGCACTTCAGCTTTCTGGATCTTCAGTTATTCAACCAACATTTGAACACCCAGTATGAGCCAGACATTGTTTTAGGCACTGAAATGAATACGACCAGTTCTTTCCATAAAAGAAGTAAACACTAACCTAAACAGATCATTTAAAAACCACTTGACTGTGTAATGAGAAATGCCCAGAATATTCTGGAAATACAGAAGAGGAACACCTGGGGCGGGGGACGTGGGGGTATAAGACTTCCCGTATGAAGTGAGAATGAATAAGCTGGAGTTCACCAGGTAAAAGGGGTGGGAGTAAAGAACCCTCCCTTCGCACGCCAGGCAAAAGTGAAAGGAGGAGGAAAATAAAACTCTTCAGGGAGGGTGAGGAAAACTGGTGTGACCGGTGACACTGGAATGGGAGCAGAAAAAGCTAGAGAGGTAGGTGGGGGCCACAGTATAAAGCTTGGAAGTTATCCATGGGCAATAGGGTGCCACAGGAGGATTTAAATAATTTACATTTCAGGAAGATTATTCTGATGGGAATAAGGAAAAGTGGATCGCAGATCCGAGACGCTGTTGCAGTTGTCCAGAAAAGGCTGGAACTAGAGCAGTGGTTAGCAGGGAAGAGGAAAATGGGATAAATTTAAGAAATATTGAGGAAGTAGAATCGGCAGATTTGGTAATTCAATGGCTGTAGGAGGTAAGGCCGAAGGATGGATCAAAAATGATTCCTAGTTCTCTAGTCGAGTGTTTTTCAACCTTTTTGACCACAATCCACACTAGTACATTCTTCAGCACAGTCCAGTACACATACTTAAGAGTATTTGTGCATGTCCGTGTACCAATGAAACAAAAGTTTCACAAAATAATATTTACCCTTATTTTGTGTTAAGCCCCTTAATACCTTCTATTATCCCACTCACAGGTTTGAAAAAACATTGCTCTGGCTTATGTGATTGGATGTTGGTAGTGCCACACACACAAAATGGAAAACACAGGAGGCAACACAGGTTTAATGTGGGAAGATGTGTTCAAGCGATTTCATTTCTAGGAGTTTACAGGTGACGTACATATATAAAGGGCCAGTGTTGCTGCTGGCTCCCCGTTGCCCAAGATCAACCCCAAAGGGACCAAGTAAGGAAAACACCAAGAAAAGGGGAAACTCTGAGACACCCCTGTGGTGGGGTGTGGGAGGATACAATAGTAAAGGAACACCTGAGATTTCTGCTCTAGCTTCTCCCCCTCCCAAATCTTGAGACAATAGTGCTTCCCCCACACCTGCTGGGACTCAGACCTCTGGTCTAGACTTCCCTGGGAGTAAACGCAGGGCAGGGCAGAAACCCTGAGTTGGTGAAGAGCTGAGAAAAACACGTGGGGACTAACTTTGACAGTCATTCTGGACCTCTCCAAACCCTCAGAACTGGTGAATTAAAATCTAAGGAGTGTCTTCGAATGCTGTTTCTCTCAATTATTGATCGGTCAAGTGGAGTAAAAAAATAAAATCAACAAAAATATAGAAGATCTCAACCACACGATGAATAAGCTTGAGTTCTGCATCCAATAAGTATACTCACATTTTCTTCTTAAGCACACATTAAAGAGTTTTTTAAAATCATGTACTAAATCATAAAGAAAGCCTCAACAAATTTTAAATAACAAATAACTTACAGGTCATGATAGTGGACCAACATGCAACTAAGTTAGAAGTTAATTAAAAAAAGATACTTTTAAAAATCTTTGCCTATTCAAAAAATTTTAAAAACACACTGCTAATAAGTCATGGGTTAAAGAAGAAATCATAATCAAAATCTAAAAATACTTAGAATTAAATGGTAAGACACCACATATGGGAAATCAACAGTTCAAAGAGATTTATGCATCCCTATGAGGGGTATGTACTATCATTATCTCTATCATGGCTTCCAGCAGCATGAGGCCAAATAACTTGCCCAAGGTCACAGAGTTAGTAAGTGCTTGAGCTGAGTCTCAGACCTAGGCAGTCTGGCTCCTAAGTCCATTCTCTTGGCTGCTTCTTCATACTCAACCACATTCAAACAGAAAGCAGTGTTTACTAGGCATATAAACCAATGGAACAGAACAGAGGGTTCAAAAATAGACATGTGTATATTGACAAAGGTGCAAAGGCAATTCAATATAGAAAAGATAGTCTTTTCAACAACTGGTGCTGGAACAATTGGACATCCATATGTAAAAAAAATAAAAAGAATCTCCCATACCTTGCACCATATATAACAATTAACTCAAAATGGATCACAGAACCTAAAAATAAAATCCCAAAGTCTAAAAACTCTAGAAGAAAACAGTGGAGAAAATCTTTGTAATCTTGGTTAGGCAAAGATTTCGTAGATGTGAAACCAAAAACACAATCCATAAAAGAAAAAATTGAAAATCAGACTTTTATCAAAATCGAAAACTTTTCTTCCTCAAAAGACACTGTTAAGAAAAGACAAGTCATTAATTGGGAAAAAAAATGTTTGCAAAACACATATATGACAAGGGACTTATATCCAGGATATATAAAGAACTCTCAAAACTCAATAATAAGAAAACAAATAACCCAGTAAAAAATAGGCAAAAGATTTTAATAAACACTTCACCAAGGAAAATATACGGATGGCAAATAAGTACATGGAAAAATGCTCAAAATCACTAGTCATTAGGGAAGTGTAAATTAAACCATGATGAAATACCACTACATGCCTATTAGAATGGCTAAAATTTTTTGAAAACTGACCATACCAAGTGTCGGTGAGGATGCAGAGCAACTGGATCTCTCATACATTGCTGGTGGGACTGCAAAATGGCATTGCCACTTTGCAAAATAGTTTTGCAATTTCTTATAAAGTTTAATATACAATTTCCATATGATTCAGCAATCCCACTCCTAGGTATTCACCCAAGTGGAATGAAAACTTATGTTCACTCAAAACCCTGTATGCAAATGTTTATGGTAGCTTTATTCATAATGACCAAAATTGGAAACAACACAAATGTCCTTCGACTGGTGAATTGAGCAACAAATGTGGTACATCCGTATAATGGAATACTACTCGGTAATAAAAAGGAACTCGTGTACATGTAGCAACACGGATGAATCTTAAATGTACCATGCTAAGTGAAAGAAGCCAGACTCAAGAGGTTACATACTATATGATTCCATTTATATGACATTCTCAGAGAGACAAAACTATAGGGATAAAAAACTGATCAGAGGCTGGGGGCAGAGCTGACCACAAAGGA